GGGGGGGGGGGCGAGGGAACGCGCCCTGCTAGCTCCGAGGCGGGGATGAAGAATTTTGGGTGCTGTTTTCACCCCACCCCGACTCAACCCTAACCCACGCACGCGGCCAAGGTTGCATTATTTAACCGTCTTGTTTTGCGCGGTGCTGCGCGGTGCTGCTGGCCCCTCTGGAAGCCCATAGCCGCCCGCCCCGACCCGACGCGTGTGTTGGAGTGTGGAAACCTGATTACGCCCGGGCCCGGCCCGGACCCCATTCAATGCGGCACGGGCAGTCGCTGCTCTGCGAGCGAAACGGATGTTGCCGAAGCCGCAGGGGCTGTGGCGGGGCGGGCTTGGCTGAGACGCTCCGGCGATGCCTTCTGCCCCCTCCAAGCCTCTTGAGTCGAAACACAACGCACCGCCACCGGGCCGAACCCGGGTGAACTAGAGCCGTCGCTCACGAACTTAACTTAGGAAAGGGACGAAAAAATGAGACGAGTTTATCCCCTGTTTGCGAAGGCACGCCGCCCGGGGGAGTATGGCTTCATATCTCTGCTGGCGCGCTGTTTTGCTCCAGCGCTTCAGAGCCAAGCCGCCTCGCTCGTCCACCCCGCCAGCCTCACCTTGACCTTCCCCCCCTCGCACCCCGCGCGGCACCACCCTGGCGCCACTGCGTAGCTGGGGGTGGTGGGTGGGGGCGGCTGCTGTGGAGGTCGCCACGCCCCGCGGCGAGCTGCCGCTGTTCACCCCCTCTTCAGGCCGGATAGGCAGTTGGGTGGTTTGGATCAGCCCTGCGCAAAAAAATGTTGACGAAAACTCTTGTGTTTACATTTCGTCTGCTGGCAAAGCTAATAATTGATCCGTCGGGCGAAGTGTTTGTTTTCCTATTTCAGCCGCGTTGTTAGCTGTCCTGTGGTTTACCTCATCGTTGTGCTTGGCCTTTCGACAACGGGATTGGGAGGGGAGGGGTGTCGAGGCGTGGCTGCAGGTCAGCCCCACGGGCACTGTGCTGCACCACCATAGCACCACCACCAACCACCACGCCCTTTTTCGCCCTCTCCTCACCAACGCCCGCCCCGCCCCGTCTCACCCCTCCGTGCCCTTGCGGGCTGTCACGGCGCTGACGGCCGGGGCGGGGCGTTGCACGCGATCCATGTGAGAGCAGAGCGCCGCCGCGCCGCCAGGCAGCAGCGCGGCTCCGACGCGGAAAAGGAAAGGAAACAAACTTTTGGCGCGTCCCTACTCGTTATGTGCTGTTTGGCTGTCATCCTCGGCGCGCGCTGTCATGTCTCGCCTCGCCGCGGGGGAAAGGCAAGGCGGGGCCCGGCCTGCTGGAGATGATGAGAAATTGCGACGTGCGCAATAACAGGCCTGAAATGGAGGGGAAGTGGCATATTCCGCGGGCGCGGCGCAGCTAGCGAGGGCGTCGGACCCGGCCGACCTTAGAGACCTCGCGGCGGCGTCCCGCGGAGGGTTCATCGTGGGATGAGGAGTTTTGCCCGCACGATATGCGCCATTTCGTGTCCCCTGCTGTTGATGTGGGTCTCTTGCCGTTCACCGGGTGGGCATCGGTTGCCCACTCGGTGTCCCCGAAAGCGGCTTGTAGGAGTCGAGTGAGATGCTGGCTTCTTGCTCCTGGCCCAGCCGGTCCGGCGCAGGGCCCCGGTGATCCTACCCGCCGGCCCGCTGCGCCACTGCCCGTGTGCACCGTGTGCAGCGCTCAGGGACTCTTGTTCTCACGGAGTGATAAGAGGCCGTCGGTGCGTTCTCACGTGCGCGTAAAGTGATCCCGCCGCGCCGTATCGTGTTGCTCGGGCCGGCCGCCCGTGGGGTAGGCAGTCCCGCTGCGCCCCGGTGCGCACGAACGAGGCCGGCGGCCTACCCCCGCAGGGGCCCGGTGCGTCCTGCTAGCGACCGGCCGAGCTCTGCACCTGGCTGCCTGCTGCGCGCTCACGCTCGTTGTTTTGGTGGTCCCGGTCGGGCCGGCTGCCGGGTGGGCCCTGAGTGTGTGTGTGTGTATGTGTGTGTGCTGGATACGCCGGGCGCGGCGCGGCAGGGGCGTTGTTCCGGATGCCGCATGGTGTGCGGAGTCGGGCCGCGGGTCGGGGTCCCCGCCCTGCCCCGCCCGGGCCACTCGCCTCACAGAGGGGGCCCTTGTCCTCGGCGGGTGAGAGAAAGGTGCTGCTGTGCTGCGTGCAGCAGTGCACTCATTTGCCTTGCCTTGGGTAGGCGATCCGACCCGCCGAAACTGCAATAGCAGCAGGCTCCTGTTTTGGAGCGCCTGCGGGTGTTTACATAAAACGTGATGCCGGGTCTGCCTGCCGGGCCTGCGCAGCCTGCGCGGCAGCGGCGGCAGGTGCAGCACATCCTGGTCGTAAGCAGGGCACGGCCACCCGTTTTGGAGATGTGCCACCGTGACCTAACTGGCTGGGCAGGCTGCTGCCGGGCTGATGTCACCGCCCTGCCCCGCCCGACGGGCCCCTCGCCTGAGGAAGGCTGATGCCCGGCCCCGCCGGCTCCCCCGGCCCCAGGCCAGGGACACACTCTGTCCGCTCCAGATCAAACGGGAGGGGAGCGTCCGGATATGTGGCGTATCCATCCAGGAGTCCAGGAGGAGGGAAAACTTACGTGGTAGAATCCAAGTTTACGCGCGTGCACGTCGCAGGCACAACATCAAACCCGACGAACGGCGGCGTTCAACAGCAGCATCCTCTTCCTGTAAAGACTGTATGGAGAAGGAATCTCATCGTGTAAAAGCCACAGGCAGCTGCATCTTTTACCTGCTCGTGTCATTGAAGAAAGGGGGAGAGAGAGAGGGAAAGAGGGAAATATATCGAACGGGCTCAACGGCGCGCGCTCCACGCGATAACTGCTGGCTGTGACTATCGCTTTTGCGAAAACGGTTCTGCAGAGCTCTGGCGGGCGTATGACACGCGAGCTAACCTCCTCAGTGCTGCTCTCTGGCTTAACGGACATGCTCCTTTGCCTTTTTTCCTCCTGGCTCGAGGATCTCTCTCCCCCCCTCTCTCTCTCTCTCCTCGGGTGCCGCTGCTGTTTTTCCCTCTGTGCCTCGCTCGCCCCCTCGCTAGAGCTCGCTCAGGTCCCGGGGCCACTATTAGGCCCCAGGGAGGGGCCGTGCCATACCGCGCTCCGCCACCCCCCGCCGCGCCCCCTGCACCAACCACGCCACCCACCGCCGAGGTGCCTTGCCTCCTGCCGGTCCGACAACCGACGACTAACTAACCCTCGCTCCTCCGCAAGAGCTTCATGCCATCACCGCCGCCATGTCATGCGTCCCAATCGCCCGACTATGTAAGATTGTAGTTATTTTCTCGTTATTATTCCTGCCTGGCGCTGCCGGGTGATTGCGCGCGGGGGGCCTGCCTGTCGGTCGTGTGCCTCTGGGGCGTTTTGGGACGGAAACAATGTGTTTGGAGGAGGAAGGCGAGTGCGTGGCGCGTGGGCGTGAGTGTGAGTGTGTGCGTGTGTGTGCGAATGCGCGTTCGGGTTGTGTTTGTTGTCTTGCGGAAGCCGGGCGTGTGAACGTACAGACCGACCACCAAGGCCCTCCGCTCCGCCCTGACGCGATGACCCCACTCGTGTGTTGGAGCGTGTTTGCCCTGGGAAAATAAAGTATTCTGTCGTTGTGTTGTGTTATCGGCAACGGCGCGTGCGGTCGGCTGAAGCTTGTATTTGTGGGGCACAACTGAACGTATCCGTTATTATGGATCTAATCCCTTAGCGAGGTCTCTAGTCTCTAATCTAATCGGCCTCAGACACTTTTTGTGGTTTCGGAAAAAGGGACCACAGAATGCAGATAGTTAGGGAGGGGTCGTCTTGAGAAAGTACGTCCCCGTTTCTCATGAGGCATTCGGTAAGTTACGCGCGCTGGG